AAGATGTATAACCAGCTATAACCTTGATTCTTATAACTTTGCTATCAGGAGATAAACGGTAATCTTTGAAAATCCATAACAAAAGTATTTCCTTTTGTTGTTAGTTTTTTGGGTTGTGAGCACTGTGATTTAGTTCACGAGACCTTAATGTAAATTTTAACTATTTAATTGTTTTATAAAATGTAATGTTAATTTTGAGTGAGATTCAACACTTTAAAAACTTACATCTGTGTGGGGCAAAAATGACCAACTGAACATTGACCACGGATAAAGATTAAAAAAGACTTGGATTGAATTATACCATATTTTTATAGAAAGTGTATAAAACTTCCAGCTTGATTGTATTAACAAAATATGGTCAAACAAATATTGTTATTATGAATTATATAATTTATTATTATACAAGTAAACTTTGAAGTTTATTGTGTTTATAATACCTCATTGTCTGTACCATTCAAACTATACATCCTACCACTCCTAAAATAAAGTATTCTTTTTTTATATTCTTTAGAAGTTGCTTAGAAATACCTAACTTAGCAAAACAACGTTTGCCGGGTCAGCTAGTATATATATATATATATATATATATATATATATATATATATATATATATATATATATGTATGTATAAAGTGATACATTTTTCGTCCATGTTTTAGCCCGCAATTCTGAATCGATTTTGGTTGGGAATCGTGCTGATTAGTTTTTGGTAGAGAACGGCCGGGCCGTTTTCTTGTATAGAGTGTTGAAAAAAAATTTATTTGACGATTTTTATGATTTTTTTTGACGGTAGATACCATAGTCTTATAGATCACACTAAAATATTACGCCCCTACGACAAGTCGTTTAACTTTAAAAATTCTTCAAAGTTTGCAAAAATTAGTTTTGTTTTTTCGGCGTTTGTCAAAATTTAAACTTTCATCGACGTTTGCTTGAAAACGCTTCTGAACAGATTTCAAAAATTTAAAAGCCAATCGATGTATTTCGATGTGGATTATCTTTTCTCAGTTTTGTGCGACGATAGGCTGAGTAGTTTCTTTGTAACTAGCAGAAAAATGAGAGTTTTTTCGTTCACGTTTCTAGCTCTCAATTCTGATTAGACTTTAAAAAATCAAAAACCATTCGAAAGATGTTGGTTGGAAATGATACTGATTAATTTTAAGTTAAAATCTGCCAGGCCGTAAATTTTTTGAAATTAACTATTGGAATTTTTTTTTGCCGATTTTTATGAATCTTTTTTTGGCATTTCATATCATGGTCTTATAGAACTTATTGAAATATTACGGCTCTACAACAAGCAGGGCCGTGCCAGGGTATGTGGCCTGCGTGCGAGCATTTTTTTGCCGCCCTTGAAAACACCATAATAGGAAAATATCAAATATGACATCACAAAAAAATTCGACTTGTAATTTTTGTTTTCTCTACTTTTCTAGTCATTCTGAATCGTTTGAGACCAAATTTGAAAAATAGTTTGTATTTGAGCCGATTTTTGACTTTTAGCCAATAATTTCTCAGAAAAGCGGCTAAATCGATTTCAAAAATTTAAAAGCCATTTAATGTAAATAGATAACGACTACCGCCTGTTAGTTTTGTGCAACAATCGGCCAAGCCGTTTCTAATCAACAGAAAAGTGTACAAATTTTCGTACACGTTTTAGCCAAAAATCCTGCATCGTTTTTAAAAATTCAGAAACTGTTTGAAAGATATCATTTGATAATTGTGCTGATTAGTTTAAAAGATCGGTCAGATCGTTTCTTCATATTTAATTGTTAAATATTTTTTTACGACGATAATCATAAAACTTTTTTGCAAAAGAGATCATGATCTCAAATATAACTTAATATTTCGACCTTACGACAAGTCGTTTAATTTTCAAAATTTTATTATAGTTTGAAAAAATGAGCAGCACTATTTTACGTGAGGCAAAATTTCATCTTTAGTCGACGTTTTCTGAGAAATGCGCAATCCTATTTGAAAATTCGATAGCATTTGATAAGCACTTGTGCTGGTTAATTTTGCCTCACGATCGACCGAGCCGTTTCTTTAAAATTGAAAAAGTGTCAAATTTTTCGTCCACGTTATAGCCTAAATTCGCGAATCAATTTTGAAAATTCAAAAACCATTACAAAGGTACTGTTTAAGAATCGGGCTGATTAGTTTTTGTCAATGATCGGTCGTATCTCAGTTATAGATTAACATTTTTTTTTGGCGATTTTGGATCCTGTTCTTAATGAACATACTACACGTTTATTTCTTGTTCAATAATATTTAATTTTTAAAATATTTATAAAAAATAACTAACATGTTTAGAAAATTTGTACAAAATTGAAGATGCAATAGTTTTTGAAATTGCAACGCACTCATGAAGTAATATATTTTTTATAATTAAGTCGATTATTCACACATGTTGAGAAATTTTTGCATCATGCTTTAAGGCAAAGTTGCCCCTAACACCAAGTTTATACACTTATTAATGATTCGATCTCGCTTCTAATACGGCCGCCTTCGGCTGATTTTTACTACGGTCGCCTTTTAACTCAGCGGATTTTCAATACGGGCGCGAATGAATTCAGCGGACTTTTAGTTTGGCCGCCTCTTAATCCAGCGGTCTTTCAATTTGGCCGCCTTTTAATTCAGCGGACTTGTAATGCAACCGCTTATTATTACGGCCGCTATTCGTTATGGCCGCCTTTAAATTAGTTTTTTTTGATTTGGCCGCCTCTCGGCCGCCCCAAAAGGCGGCCGCCTGCGTGCGGTGCACGCACTGCACGCTGCCTATGCAGGCACGGCCCTGACAACAAGTAATTTAATTTCAGCAATTCATCAAAGTTTAAAAAAATATTTATATGTATATGTATTTACCGGGATGCTTCAAATATGTTTTACAATATGCGTAGTACATCTTAATACTTTTATTTGTGTGTACATATATGTATATATGTATACTTTTGTGCATGTATACATATTCTTCGCATATTTTTTCCATATATTTTTTCATATTTTATAAGGGATCCTATGTTAAATCCTCTATTACATTATTTTCATCGAAAATATTTTACTTATTGATTACAGCTTAAATCCACAAGCTATATTTTCCATATCCCTACTTTTTTTTATTGAAAATATAAATTTTATACATCTCATACAGACGGAAGTGTCTGGTATGAAATATCGTACAAATCATCTATAGTATAGATAATAATATATATATATATATATATATATATATATATATATGTGTGTGTGTATACTAGCTGCCCCGGCAAACGTTGTTTTGATAAGTATTAAGTAAAAAATTGTAAATAATACTACTGAGCTTATACAAAATTTACAAGTTTCTGCGAGGAGAGATAGAAAATGAATTAAGTATTTCTTCTTTGACATGCTTTTCGAAAAGTTTCAAGTAACATTCGATGAATTAAAGTAAATTTAATAAAATGTAGGCACCAATTTGACTTTGAGCAAACTTTGACTTTTATTATGTGTTATCAAAGATTACCGTTTATCTCCCGATAGCAATGTCATGAGACTCAAGGTTATATCTGATTATACATCTTTTTATCTCTACTTTCAAATATTGTTGTTAAACAATGCTTAACTTTACTGGTTTTTGACACATCGGTGGTGGACATTTTTAACTCCGGACCTTCATATATTACTGTCTATTTTTCGATATATTCTGGGAAATTATAACTGGAAAAATGTTATTTGGCAAAATGTCTCTTTGATCGATACCAAATTTAGGTTCTGAATTTAAATAACATAAATAAGCTAGAAAGTCTTTTATAAATACCAATGAGTATATAATTATACAAATGAGATCTTTCAGAGCACCGTGTTTGAGAAAAATATGCCAAAAAAGTGTATTTTCATATTAACATTTCAAAAAAGTTGATATTTTGAGTTTTTACTAACACTTGCGATGTGTTTAATAACGTTTTTGTGTATGAATAAAACTACAAACATAACTACATACTACAATTTAATCATAATTAAATAATATTCACGTAAAACATCCTATCAAACGTAATTGAACATCATCTGTCAAAAACGCTTGACATTTGCCACCGTCCATTGTTTTATTTAAATTACGCCTCTACAAAAAATTTCAAATTAAAAATGTGAAGATTCTACGCGATTTTGAAATAATATCTCACCTTTCCGGCTATCTCTGGGTTGGCACGACTTTTTCAAGACTAAGACTATCCAAATCGAGATCGAGAGCTCCATTTTTATATATAAGACTAGCTGACTCGTCAAACGTTGTTTTGCTAAGTAGGTTATTTCTAAACAATTTCTAGAGTTTAAAAAATGAATACTTTATTTTAGGAGTGTAAGGATGAGTAGGGTATTTCTAAACAATGAGGTATTATAAACACAATAAACCCCAAAGTCTACTTGTATAATAATGAATTATGTAATTCATAATAACAATATTCGTTTGTCCATATTTTGTTATTACAATCAAACTGGAAGTTTTATACACTTTCTATAAAAATATGGTATAATTCAATCCAAGTCTTTTTTAGTCTTTAGCCATGGTCAATGTTCAGTTGGTTATTTTTGTCCCACACAGATGTAAGTTTTTTAAGTGGTTATATAAAGAAAACTGTTGAATCCCACTCGAAATCAACATCACATTTTATGAAACAATTAAATAGCGTATAGTTACAATTTATAATAAGGTCTCGTAAACTAACAACAAAAGGAAATAGTTTCGTTAAGGATTTTCAAAGATTACGGTTTATCTCCCGATAGCAAAGTCACAAGAATCAAGGTTATAGCTGGTAATACTTACTTTGCTAAAACCATACTGATTGTGTGCTAGGAGTGGGTCAACTACAGCATCTATTCTTTGGTCAATGGGCAAATTGGTGAATTGACTGGCTTTTGAGGCGAGACATTGCAGTCTTATAGAACCTTACCCATGGGTTTTCGACTTCACCCAGAAGTTCTTTCCAGCACCTAGAGTAGAATCTTAATAATAATTAGGGTCTGGCTTGAAAACCCAATGTCGAGAATCGGCAGGTTGTATAGCTCTTTTCACAATAGTATTTAAGTTCTCCTGGAGATACTCTGTGGGAAAATAATAGAATAAACAAATAAATAAATCAATTGGCAAGATGTCAAACAAAGATTCTAATTTTTACAAGAAAAATAATATTATTATATTATTAATGTACTGATTGAACACAATAAAATTCTATCAACAGTGTTTCGAAATCAAAAATTATATCTCAACAGTTAACATGACCTTAGCATGCTATTAGTACCAATACAAATACTAAAGAATACATAAAATATTTGATAAGATTTTTAATTCAAAATTAAGTTAAATTTATTATAGTAATAATTATAAAAAGTATAACAATTTTTTAAGCCATCCAATATAAATAAATAATTAATTAAATTATCTTATCTATTACTATATCTATATCTGCAAGTAAAATATCCGCTTATGAAATAAAATCTATAACAAAAATCACAAATCAAACAAAATATTTTATGTCGAAAAACGAGTCTTATTACAGATCTTATAACAATACACACTATACCAATAATTTACTAATGATAAGTTGAATCTAGAAATAATAATAATAGTTATTTCTCTTATAAAATGATATTAAAATGATTTTTATGACACACAACTACAATTAATCAATACAAAAAGTTGAACATTATTACTAACCTCTCCGCAATTAATCACACTCAAGTAATCACAAAAAAATGAACACCGCAAATAATCACAAAAAAATAACTTAATTCATTAACATATTAATTTTTAAAAAAGAATAAAATGGTATAAATTAGATTTTTAGTGATCACAAACTAACGTCTCCATATTCTTGGGACCACTTCTCATATCTATAAATGCTATTCGATGCAACGGATTTGCGGATACGTTTCACTGATTCCAGAAAGTCGTTTATCGTGATGTTTCGAACAGCACCAGGATGCAAACGCCTAACCTCATCAAGATTCAATTCTTAACATGAAAAAAAAAGTTTATATAGCTTATATAAAATGCACAATATTATATATATATATATATATATATATATATATATATTGTTCTGTAATAACATGATCGTACGTGTTTTTAATAAAAATATGAATTTATTCTTCAATGTTAATTAAAGTCCAAGATCTTTGCATGAACGCGGAAGCACGCCATCCCGGGAATTTGTCACGTCCAATACATAATATATAGAGTCAGAATTATTTGTATAAACTAGTGATGTCTTAGGCAAGAGTCTAGCCAAGTGATGTCTTAGGCAAGAGTCTAGCCGAGTGATGTCTTAGACAAGAGTCTAGCCAAGTGATAATGTCTTAAGAGTAGTCTTAGAATATCATAAGTGGAGATTATATCTATTAATTAAAAGAAATAAATACAGTGTTTAATACTACAAGTGGATTTTTATATTGGAAACCAGAAGTTTGTCTCTTCCAGCCAATACCTTACTGAAAGGACCCATTATTCTTATTTAAAAATTATTTTTTTTTTAAGATTTTATTTGTTAATTAGAATATAAATAATATTTTGTCAATTTGAATATTTTTTTGTATTAGGATTTTGGTTGTACTTGGGTAAAGTTTTTGTAACAATGGGCAGTTCGATTATTGTTCACAACACTATTATTTTGTTGACTTCATATAACCATCAAGGTTAAGTTCAAGCAAATATTGTTAACTAAGCATTTTTAACAAAAACAATTACGAGCATTGCCAGGTCCAAATTTCATAACAGAAATATTTCAAAGTAAAATAATTGTAAAGATTAGTAACAAAGTCATCAAGTAATAATATAAAAGACTCAGAAAGTAATATTGAAAAGTTAGTGACTCTAGTTAATGACTTTGAGTATCCTATCAAGAGTAAATTTACATCTGTTGATCTTTTTATAACGTCGCGATTTTTAATGTGGCTTTAAATGCCAGTATAAAGGCGAAATGCCTAAAGGATTTAGTGTAGCCATTGTGCCACTTTTCAGGCGATAGTGCCAATCCTTCATTTCAGATAGCCTAATATTAAATTGTTCAACAGAAACAATAGGTATCTGACAAATAAATAATTAATCAGGGTAGGAAAAACCCGAATGGAGACTCGTAAGGTTAGTGAAAACCGCGAGATCTTAAATATATTTGACGTAATTTTGATGACTTCTAAGAGACTCATGAATCCGCGGGAACGAGTCAATAAAATCTTTCAAATAAATTTATTTCGTTATTATCATTTTAGGACCAAAACACGCTCGTTGATTTTGTCGATATTATTAAATATTGCATGAGAATAAATTCCAACTATTAATGTTGAGTATAGAAATAATTTTGAAATATTACATAAGAATGAAATTTTAATCTTGAATATTACATTAAATGAACTTTGAAGTTTGGTGTGAAAATAATTGAACTTGAAAACGCAAATTTCAATAATAATTAAATTATAAATTAAAAATTTGAAACAAAAAAATAGGAAAATGAAAATGTGCCATGTTTGAATTATTGATACAAAATGATTTCATTTTAAATTCAATTCAATTTGTTAGCGGTATATTAAACGTAAAATATTACCTAAATTTTCTTCTCTACAAGTTTAATAAATTTTATTTTGAAAATTAGTAAGCGATTGAGTAAATTTGTTTTCTATTATATTATTTGCGTAAATTAACGATAATAATATTTTCTCTAATTGAATTTTTTATAATTGTTCATACTAAATGTAATTTCGATTATTTGCGTTAATAGTATAAGAAGCTTTATCATATTTCTATTTTGAAATTTGAGTAAAGAAATATCACGTGACATTCGGTTTCAAATTTTAACAAGGCACGCAATACAAATTTGATTATGATGTATTAACTTCGTTAATTTTATAAATCTTTCAATTGAAATTCCTTTAATTTGATATTTTAATTTTGCTTTTTGAAATAATTTTATCGTAATTTATTTTGTTTTATTCTACATATTAATATTTTCATAGTTGTATTTTTATTTTTATTGATAATAATTATGAATAACTATGAATTTCGAGCGTTCAAAGCTGATATAATAAGACCATTAACACAAATAGAATTTCTATCACCTTAATTATTTATTCACTTATAACAAAAGTAATTTTGACGCATAGTATCAATAATTCACATGGAAATAAAATACAAAAAATATATATAATAATAAATTGTATCAATTATTCTGAAATCGAATGGGCACTCATATTTTATTAATACAGATATTCTAAATATAATAATTTCAAATTAATATTTTTATATTGTATATTTTTATAGTACAAATAGAATGTTCAAAATAGAAATTGAAAATAAAAGTCATAAAATCAAGAGGGCCCAGGAATGTATCAATGTAGAAGTATGTGACAACACACAATTATTAGATTACAAAACGAATTATCACTATCTTCCATTTCTATCTAGATGTAATGCATCAGAATGGCAACAAGTGAGCAAGCTATTTTTTTTTAAGTTTCGAAGATTGATACAGGATTCTCATACAGGTTCAGTTAGTGATAATAGCGCGCGCATTTTAAACATCATATTAAGAATATTGAGCTGAATCTGACACAGAGTATTTTGATCATAATTTGAAATTCGAATCAAATAAATAAATTATCAAACAAAATTAAACAATTTATGATACCATTAAATTTGTGAAAAAAAAGATATCTTGCACCTTGCGAATATTCTTATGCAAATAGAAAAGTTGTTTTATTATTTTACTATACTAGTTGAAACTTCATTATATATCGAAACCAATTAATGATAGTGATAATGGATCAAACAATTATTTTTATCACATACATTTTTGAAAGTTTTATTGATGTGTAAATAATATAAATCAAATATGACCTATTTGATATTCAAAATTTTGCCTACATAATCATTTTAATGTTGTATGCATTGACAAAACAGACACACAAATTATGCAACTTGAGCGAATTCATATGGTATTAGATTGCATACTGTATCAAATAAGAATAACCTAATAATGTAACTAATTATTGTTTATAATATTTTGCTGTGTTATCAAAATCCATGATTTGAAATGAAACAAACTTTTGAAACTAAATCGAAATAATTTTAATGAACTATTAAAAATCACAATATGCAGCAAAATGTTAAAACAATATTAGATTATTAAAAAAGGTTTGATGTTAATTTTTTTACCAATATTATCATCAGAATTGTTATCTAATTATTATATTTCAGACATATTACAAAATTTTATACTTTTACTTTGTCATATTTTGCAAATAGTTTTCAAATTTTTCTCTCTTTTGCTATAATCAATTGTACCATAGATTACTATTTTTCCATTTATCGAGGACGATAAATTGTTTTAGAGGGGAGGAACCCCAAATAAATTGTAATTTCTTTTTTTTTTCTTTTTAATTGTTAGAGGACTAACAATATTCTGTAGGGGTGGCGTGTTCTGTAATAACATGATCGTACGTGTTTTTATACATCAAAGAATAAAAAGCAAAGATTTATAAATTAATCTTTAATTCCAAACGTTTCGACATTCAATTTAATGTCATCATCAGTGGATATTAACGTTGGATATATATATTTATATATACATACAGATGACCCGACAGACGTTGTCCTGTACCCACATCTATGTTTTTTTAATATCCTATACTAATATTTTTAATAGTTAAAAATAATCATTTTTGGTTTTTTAATTACTATTTACACCAATATATGAGTGATGTTGAATGTAGAACTGTTTCAAATAAAATGATTATTCTCAATTCCCACAGTTAACACTTTAATTATCTATTTAACAAACATTAAAAAATGTTCAATAAAATTGTATATTAAAAATTATACACTGCAAATTTAATTCCAATAGCTCAATTTATTAATGCCAAGGGTTATACAATTTTTCAGTCATACCTGTAGATGTGGATGTATAAATAAATGATTTTTTGTTTTTTCACGACTAAAACATTGATTTTCCAAATTTATCACACAAAAAATCATCGTCTGCCTTTGTGATTTATGGTCATAGCATAAGACACACGTGTTGAAAATTGAAGTCTTGTAAAAGGTATAACAAATTCAGAAAGAATTATTATATAGCATTCGCGGTATGGGTACAATATCACCTTAGATTTTCCTACCCAAAATAATTGCTTCAATAATGTTGCCTATAATTTTTATAATTACGTACCATATTTTAACTGGCTTTTAGTAATTTACGATCGAAAGACATTCTGGTTGGAAATTATCAATATTTGTGTAAGAGAAAAATAATAAAAAGCAATAATTGGTCAGTAAAAGACCTTGAATTTTCATTTATATACCATTATACGTATCTTTTATTTTTTTAAATAGATTTTTTTTCATGAAATCATGAGTTTGCACCAAAGTTGTAGTATTTTCTAGAATCCGTCAAGATCTCTTAAAAAAAGTTGATTCTAGAGGGAATACGATTATTTTTAATTTTGGTGGAAATGGCACTCAAAAACTATTTGCTTTATAAATGAAAAAAATATTGTATGCGTCTTTTATCTGCATGATAGCTCACTCATTTTACACGCAGAAGTACTCATTTTAAAGCTTATTTTGAGTACTATAAAACCCCATTTTCACATCTAGCCTAATATTGTTCCTAGAACAATTTATAGAACACCGATTTATCAGGATTTTAATTGATATAATTTTGTTCATTACATGATTTTCGTTTAAATGTATATTTTTAGAAGTATTTGCAAAAAACGATGAAAAACGCAAAAAACAACAAATTTTCAGTAGCCAGTAACTTGAAAAGTAATTTCTTTTTTGAAAAACATTATAAAACATTTTTCTCTTCTAATTAGTTCTTTTATCGATATCCGACGTTAGTTTGAAAGAGATACAATTGCACCACTGAAAAGGGATGTCATCCCCCCGGAAGGTGGCAAATGATTCTAAATTATTTTTACTTTTAAACTTGAGAGTAAGATGAACCTAATTCCAAAATTCCATGC